CTGTCTTCTCAGCCTCACACTTCCCCTCCTCACTCACCTCCCTGTGTCCGCTCTGCTCCTCCTGCCTCTCTCTCTCTCCTCCGTCCACCTCCCGCTGTGTTGTGGCGGGAGTCCGGCGCCGGGCCGCAGGTACGGGTCTACCCTGCCTACCTGGCCCGGGCCTGGTGTCCCTCTTCCCCGCAGCCGAAGCACTTCAGCAGGGAGGAGGTGGCGTATAGTGTGTAATCAAACCCGTCCACCCGTACTTTGAAAACATAATTGAACTCTTCCGTTCTGTTGTTTAGTATCATCAATACTTGTCTTCGATGCGATACAACGTGTTTCAGTAATGGTGATTTCCATCCAGACAGTGTCTTCTTCATGGGAGAGACAACTTTCCCATGACGAGAGAGTTCATTAATCAAAACTGCAACACTAACAAACGGCGGTACATTAGATAGGGTAATCCGGGTTGTGGGCTGCATTAGCGGCAGCACTTGTTCAAACAAGCTGTTCACTGTTATACCGGTCTCCACTAGCCGGTTAGCTTGTTCCACCTTCTCCAGAAATAACACGACCGATTTATTCATGCGGGCGGCGGATTTGATGGAGCTGTGCCCCACCACCTCCCCTGCTGCCAGCGCCACCTCCTCCACGCTGCTCAGGGATCCAGCACCCACCTTCACGCTGTGCTGCCGGGACAGCCCGTCGGCCGCCATGACGGCTGCCACCAGCCTCAGGCCGGCGTGGAAACACACAAAAACACGAACTAAACTAACCCCAAACTAAACCCGTGCAAACACAAACACCTACATAAACCACCACCAAAAGAATAATAAGAAAAGGATAGAAATATGGAAAAAGAATCCAAAAACCCTCTCTCCCACTCTCTCCCTCACTCGCTCTCCTCCCACACGAAGAAGAAGGAGAATAAAAACCCCACAATCAAAAAAAACACACTCCTACCCACAAGTTAAAAAACTAACAGCTGAGCTGTAGCACCTGATCCCCCACATGTCCCTGAAAATGTCCAGGTTGCAGGTCAGTCTGTAAAAGGACCAGAGCCTTCAGACACAGCACCGGCTCTGTCCAACCCACACCTGACAACTAGTTCTCATGGCTTCTCCAGATTGTTTGCTCAGCAGTTGCTAACAAGAAATTGATAAGAACCCGTGTCTGTCTCTTTTTGCCTTGGGCCAAAAACAAAAAGTGAAAACGAAAAAACCTCTCCTAAAGCCTCCACCCACCCCTGCAGCCGCCTAAATAAATCAGACAAATGAGGACAGGATACCACCAGGTGTTCCACAGTTTCTGTCTGCCTACAAAAAGGACAGCCCTTGTAGTTTTGTAGCTATAGCTCCGTGTATGATCCTCCACTGGAGGTCAGCCGTCTGTTTTTTAACAGGAGGCTTGTACAGGAGCTGCCAGCAGCCTTTAAAAGAACCGTCTGCATCAAACACCTCAGTCTATTTTGACTCTGAGTCCTGTCAGAGAGCTGAGGTTCAGGACTGATGATGAGGGAGGGGAACACAAACTCGTGACTGTCACTTCACTGTTCAGCCAGCACCCGGTCCCGAACCAAAGCCCTCAGTGGAGGAGACAGAGACTGTCCCACCTCGTCTACAAACCTCTGCAGCACTCGGGGCGACCTGATGTTGGTCACCTCAGTCAGCATGTCCATCGACATCCTCATTAGATTATCCAGCTTGACGACCCCAGCCTCAACAAGATGAGTCCTTAAAGTGAATTATTAGAATTAATAGACAGGAAGCTGTTGTTGAACAGCGGCTCTTCAAACAGCCACATTCCAGGCCTGTGTTCAGGAGGTCTGGTATGACTGCTCCGCCCCAATCAACAGGTCAATAAAAACCTTTAGTCTGTTAGATAAAAACAGACAGAGAAGGATTTTTTAATCTGTATACAGAAGAGCAACCAGTCTCCAGTTCTTTAGAGGCGTTAGATCTCCCTTCTTAGGCAGTAAGGAGATCACTGCAGGCCTGCAGGAAGCTTTAGTAAAAGACATCCAAACATCCAGCATGTCAGGCCCCAGCTCCCTCCAGAAGTGCTTAAAAAAATCTGCAGGTAAATCATCCACACCTGGAGCCTTTCCTGAGGCCATGTGGGACATGGCAGTGGTCAGTTCATGTAGGGAGAGGTCTGAGCTCAGGGTGTGGCGCTCCTCCGGACTCAGCTATGGAAGATCCTGCAGCAGCTCAGCAGCAGCATCTCAGCTCCGAACAGGTCAGTGTAGAAGGCCACTGCATCCCTCCTAATCTCCACCTGTTCAGAAGTCAGCCTCCCATCAGGCAGGCGGAGAAACACCATCCTTCCTATGGGCCAGCGACCTCTCCAGGATAAAGATGAATTTAGTCGGTGCATCCATGTTGCTGAGCTGAGAGAAACGAGCCCGGACCAGCACTCCTTTAGCTCTCTCCTGGAGGAAGAAGCTCAACTGCTGCTTTATAGAGAGCAACAGGCTGCTCTGCTCACCAGACCCTCTCTCCAGCTCTGTGATATCTGCCTCCAAACGCTGCACAGCTCTCCTGATCCTAGCAGTGGAGTATGATGTGTACTGCTGGCAGAAAACCCTGGTTTGGCACTTTCCTACCTCCCACCACTGACTCAGAGAAAGAAAAGACTCTTTCCTAGACCTAATAAAAAAAATTATCAAGTAATAACTTGACATTAAAATGCCAAAAAGAACTGTCAGTGGAAGATAAAACAAGCTCCAGAAGAACTAAAAGGTGATCTGTGAAAGCCACAGGGAGGATGTGACAGTCAGCAGCCCGAGCAGTAAAAACAGCTGACAGATAAAACCTGTCTCACCTGGCTGCACTGACCCTGCCACCTGCACCCAGGTGTACTGCCTGACTGAAGGCTGCTTCATCCTCCACACATCCACTAAATCGGCCTCTGCCACCAGCTGAGACAGATGTGCAGCTGACTGAGATGCAGCTCCTGACCTGTCCTATCTAGAGAGTCTGCAGCAGTTCCAGCCCCCCCCCAGAACAACACATTTGAATGTGAATGTCTTGAATGTTAAAAAGAGCTGAGCGCTCAGGGCCGTGGTTTGGAGCATAAACATTAATGAAAGTAAGAATAAAATTGTATTTCTGATCTCACTGTGAGGACTCTGTCCTTAACAACTTCTGTACGACTTAATATCTTGACATTGGCAGTGGGAGAGAATAACACAGTGACTCCTGCACTGAGATTGGAGCCTTGGCTCAGCACATGCTGCCCGCCACTTCTCCCACTGAATTTTCAGCCAGAGAGCCGCCGACACCGGCGCCCCGGCCACAGAGCCGGCAGCCTGGACCCACACAGGCAGAGCAAACGGAGGGACTCCGTACACGGTGACCCGGGGAGAGGGAACAGCCAGTGGGACACTTGCAGAAACTCTTCATTAAGCTCCATTGTCTTTCAGAAACATTACCACCTGTATCAAAGGCTTTATTTTGAAGGCATGTTTAGGGGTACCTTCTTCCTGTGACTAGCACCCCATGTTGTAGCCTAGTTAGCCAGATGCCATATAGACCAGCAGACAGACGTCGATACACCTGTGAGAACCCCCGTTGTATTTCGCCTGGGATTAAGGTTGTTTTTTGTTGAACCTGCCTTTATTGAGACACTGTGAGTGGATGCACAAAGTGAGTACGGTTTGACGTATATTGTGTTTTTACGATGCACCTCGTTAACTCTGACAGGTGTAATGTTTCCGCTGATATGCGACTGATGTCTGTCTTGTTTAGTTGGGTGTAGGAGTATAAGGAAAACTTCTGTTGGTTTGGGTAGTTGTGTACTGTTAGTTCACGGTATGTAACGTCACGGTAGTTCAGGCGGTTAATTGCTTGGCGCTCCGTGTGAGTGTTAATTCTTTATTTGTCCTAACCAGTAGAGGGTGCTATTGGACCAGCTAACTAAGTATTATGGTTAATTATATTACTGTCAGTTGGTTTGTGTTAGAAAATTAGTGTGTATTTTTTCTGTTCATGTGAAACCGTGGTTCATTCTTAAGATGATGTATAATATGATTTATTGTTGTTATTCCAGAACTATGACAACACTGAGTTCTCAATAAATCGCCACAGTCATCAGATCTACCAGCAAGAAGTTATATCCTGTCTTCATTCCCCTGTCCTGACCGACACAGCATCTTGACTACTGTATAACCCAAACGAACTAGCACTAATCCCTACCTCACAAACACCACGCTTTATTCATGCAGGACGCATAATTTAAGGTAAACACAAGAAACTTGTGCTACAGAAAATGGACCAGACTCAGTGAATAGCTCCCTAAGCTTAACATCCTAAATCCTATGATAAGTATTAATTTGACTATACAGACTAATGAGCAGTGATAACTAACATGTCTTTGGGGTCATCAGGTGGGAACCTCCTTTCACCAGTGTTTCGTCTAGTTGGTCCCACGACACCTCAAGGAGGCTAGACAGTGATCACTGGCGTCCCAGAGTCACTCCCCTAATGCCAGCCATCACTGCTCCTCACACCACCACTATTTTCTCCTTTATCTTGCCTATGCTACCACACACAACATTATCATCAACTAGGACAAAACACACCAGCAGATTCAGCAAACAAACTCCCCTAACCAGTTGGAGAAAGTGGCGGCCATTTTGAATGAGGGAGGTAGAGTCAAGGAGAGATGCCATAAGTGATGTTATGATGTCCCACCTGCTCTCCCACCGCCAACAGCACCTGCTCCACCGAGGAGCTGAGCAACTATATGCACTCCATGCCTCAGAGACAGGGACGGCGTCTCAGAGGACGAGAGAACATGGAGAACACACCAAACAAACCACCAACAGTTCACACACACTGCACAAATATCACACAATAATCACAAAGATCATACAATAAACTTCTCACTACCAAACACCCGACACAGTGTTGAAGAAGAAGAAGAAGATGATGATGAATAAGATGATGAAGATGATGAGGATGATGCTGGTGCGTACCTGGACCTTGCCTGGGTTTTTACCTGTGAGATTTATGTACCTTGTAAGCCTCCGTAGTTGAGCCGTAGCCATGAGGGGACATTATAGCACCCTCCCCCCTCCTCAGCGTCACAGCGGTACAGCAGCATGTTCATGTCAGTCAGGGTCAGTCTGGACATGATGCTGAGGAAGAGCAGGTCACTGATGATGATGATGAAGAACCTAACCTCTGACCACAGGCTTCAGCACTTATTATTGTTGTTTATTGTTATTATATTAATTGTGTACTGACGTCATCAGCGGCTGGGTGAGGATGGGGGGAGTGCTGTGTTCAGCCAGGCTGCCGGTCTGGTACTGAGGACTGAACTGGATCAGGTGGCGTCTCAGGGCCCCCAGCTGCTCCTGGGACCTGGGCTCCAGAGTCACTCTGTAGAGGATCAGAGACCACATGTAGATCCAGACCAGACCAGAAAACTAATGAAGTGGTTCAGGACCTGCACCCCCCACCCCCCACCCCCACCTCACCACCACCCCACCCCACCTGAAGATGATGATGCTGCCTGGAGTGAACTTCTCCAACCTTAACTCCTGAACATCTCTGTTGTGTCTGGACACCACGTCAGTCTTCTTCACCAGCTGACTGTCCTTCACCTGCAACAAATTCCTCAGAGGTCTAAACATAAAGTGTGAACTCACTCCTCTGGCAGAGGTTCTGACAGACACATCATCAGAACCAGGACCTGCTGCAGAACCACACACACACCTGGATGTGTTCTCTGATCTCCACAGTGCAGACCGGCAGGCTGCTGTCATCTGTAGTGTTGTTCACAGAGGTCCGGGCCTCCAGCACCACTTCTTTAATCACACCTGTACAGACCAGAACCAGAGTCCAGGTTAACTCATACCTCTCACGCTGAGACCTCTGAGGATCAGGATCAGGAAGTGGTTTCAGGACCATCACCTGGGATGAGGACAGGTGGAACGTCATCTGTGTGACAGAGTCTCTCTGGCTTATGGACCGGTCTTCGCAGCACAGCGACCACTGATTCGTGGGTACTGGGACAGTGTCTGGTCACTGTGGCCATGCCCCCTCCCAGGTGCTCCACATACACCTGCTCACATGACAGCAGAGACAAAGCAGACTGGGTGACACTAGCAGGACACTGGGGTCATGTCCTCAGTCAGGTCGTGTCCTCAGTGAGGTCGTGTGAGGTCATGTCCTCAGTGTCCTGTGGTTAAGTCTATGATGATGTTTCCGACTCACGGTTAAGGTTAGTCACAATGACATTGACCTTTGACCTTTAAAACCCAAAATCTAATCAGTTCATCTTTGAGTATAAGTGAATATTTGTGTTCCTGAGATATCAGGTTCCTGAGGACGAGAGGGACGACCCGAAAACATCACGTCTCTGACTGTTGCCACACAGAGGAATAAAAATAACAAGCTCATGTCTGACATTTGTTATGTATAAATTTGTTATTAATGTTGTCACATATATTTCATGAAGGCAGCAGGAGATGCATGGTGTCCTGACCTGTGTGAAGCCCTCAGCAGCCAGATCCTGGTGCAGCCTGTTCAGGGACAGCTTGGCAGCCATGATCCCGGTCTGCAGACCGACCTGGTCCTCAGGGCTCCAGCTGGTGTACTGATGGTCCTGAGAGACCTGAACAGCACAGTGAAGGTTAGTCCTGAACCTGGTCACTGGTCTTTCCTCTGCTGCTGGCCTCAGGCTCAAATCTCTATTTCTACATAACATCATAACATGAAACAGACTGAATAACTAAAGAATAACTGAAGCCCATTGTCTTTAAATGTCCTGCAGGTTTTTATATTTCCTAGAAGTCCAGTGGAAAAGTCATGTGTTCATCCTCAAACACCTGAATTGGACAGGTGCTGCTAAAATAAAGAAAATAAAAAACACCATGCCAGCTTCAGTAGAGTTCATGTACAGCCAGAGACACTGTGGTGCTTTAACTGCAGTCACCTGATGAGGGAGCAGCTCATCGTATCTTCTGCTGCTTCCTGTAGCACAGCAGGCCATGGACACCAGAGCGGAGCTGGGCAGGAAGTCGGAAAGTGAACTCTTCTGGAACAAGAGGTCAAAGGCTGAGACTGTGTTCAAATCCACATTCACCAACTGTATACAGGAAGAACCAATCAACCGATGGATTCAAATCGATCACAACAGTCTCGTCACCAGTTAACCGGTTAATCCCTGAGCCTGTGTGTTTATTTTTAGCTGCTGCTTCCTTGAATTACTAGAATTAGTTTGAACGACAATAACAATCATCACTCGTCACACAGCAGACTGTACTACAGTGGCAGTAGATTCAGTAGAGACAGTAGAGACAGTAGAGACAGAAGATTCAATACAGACAGTAGATTCAGTAGAGACAGGACAGAGACAGTAGAGACAATAGCGACAGTAGAAACAGAGACAGTAGAGACAATAGAGTAGATTCAGTAGAGCAAGGACAGACAGTAGATTAAGTAGGGACAGTAAAGACATCAGAGACAGTAGAGAGGACAGAGACAGTAGAGACAGAAGATTCAGCAGAGACAGGACAAAGACAGTAGATTAAGTAGGGACAGTAGAGACAGCAGAGACAGTAGAAACAGTAGAGACAGAGACAGTAGAGATGGTAAAGGCAGCAGCAGTAGATGACTAGATAATTCTGTTTTCCAGAGGGAATCTAACCTGGGTGGGACTGTGGTTGTTGGGGCTGATGTCCATGAACATAGTGTGAGCCACAGCTGGGACCAGGGGCCGAAGGCTGGGCTGGACAAAGGCCCCCACAGGCTCCCCCCTACACCAGGACAGCCAGCACCCTCCCTCCTGACCGTCTGCAGCAGCTGCAGCATCTAGCAGAGAGACAGAGGGAAGACGAGCTGCTCAATAATCACAGCAATAACATCTACTGTCAATGAAACATCTAATGTAACATCTACTGTAACATCTACTGTCAATGAAACATCTGCTGTCAATGAAACATCTGCTGTGAATGACACATCTGAACATGCAGTGGGATGATGAACCACAGTTTCAGTTGATGGGATGAAGGAGAAAATACCAATACCAATAAGATGTAGTTTAACAGATTTCTATTAAAAACAGTGACAATATTGAATATTCATGTTCATGTGATGCAGTTTCATTAAAAAGCCAAATGAGACAGAACAAACAGAAGAAGAAGAAAATAGTTAGTGTCAGCGCTTTACACTCCAAGACACTAAACTGTTCATTGGCAGGTGAGGAGGCGGAGTTAGGGTCACGGTCGGGGACGGGGTCAGTACCTCTCAGCACACTGGTGATTCCCAGGCGGTTCACGAAGACATTGTCAGTGTGTTGGCTGCCGGTACAGAGCTCAGCTATCACGTACAGGTTAGGCCTGACGGCTCGGGCTGCTGCAAGCATCACCTACAGAGACACAGAGGACACAGTGAACCTGTAGTCTGTCCAACATTAACACAGGGGACACAGTTTCCATGAGACACCTTGATGAGTCAGCAGTAGGTAGAGAGTACCTCAGTCACATGCAGGGGGATGGAGGAGCAGTTGACCAGACAAACACCAGAGAAGGCCTCAGCTATAGTCTCTGTGTACGTCTTCATACGAGTCCACAGGTAAGGACAGTCCTCTGGTTTGTCTCCATAACGAAGCTTGACAGTGTTCTCCTCACAGACCAGTTCTCTCCGCAGGTAGACCTCAGAGTCTGCAGACAGCAGGAGGAGGGAAGACAGGTCAGGGAACAAATATCTGTCTGTGGAGATTTCCTCCTCTACTAGCATCATGGAGCAGAGTTGTACCTCATGGACATGTGTGTTATGGTGATTAACGCTGAACATAATCATAACTTCCCTGTGGACATCTGATTAATGAAATGCTGTGGATGAGTTATAGACGCCAGAAATGTGTCAACAACTGTTCTCTGTGTGGAACGAAAAGTCTACGGCCTCTCATATTATTTCCTTTGTACAGCCCCCACAATACTTTCCAAATTAAGGAGTGTTTTGTACTTCCTGGTTCCCGTAGCTTCATTCTCCTCACCTCTGTCACTGTCTCTGTCTCTCATGTGTGAAGCATGGATGAGGAGAAGCTACTTGTTGAGGTTGATAAATATAAAGACCCAACACCAGGTTATTGATAATTGGCAGATGAGCCACAGATCTGATCAGCTCTTAAGGTAAGAAATGAAGTTGAAGTTGGTGTCAGCACATGATTTAACGTTAATGTCTGAATGTTGTTGAAAACATTTTATGGTGATCATTTTATCGGTTGACTATGATCAGTGGTCCTGTTGGGGGCGGAGCTTGATGTGCATCATATGATCTGCGTTTTCATCTTTACTGTTGCTCCTGTTGTTCACCTGGTTCAGCTGCGTTCCTCTGCAGATCACTTCCTGTCACAGAGCCGTCATGAGCCAGGAAGTGACACGCCTTCTCTCTCTGCTCCATCAGCTGCACTTCTTTATCAAAGCTCATGTCCTCAAAAGGAAAGGTGAAATACCTGGAGATCAGACACAGGGGACATTACACATTTTAAATGACGTAATTAACATACAGCCAGGTATTATTACACATTTTGAATAACTGAAATAACACATGGCCACGTGTTATTACACATTTAAAAACCTGAAAAAACATACAACCAGGTGTTATTGCACATTTTAAATGACGTAATTAACATACAGCCAGGTGTTATCACACATTTTTAAAAACGTAAATAACACACAGCCAGGTGCTATTACACATTTTGAATGATGTAATTAACATACAGCCAAGTGTTATTACACATTTTAAATAACTGAAATAACAGTCAGCCAGGTGTTATTACATATTTTAATTAACTGAAATAACACACAGCAAGGTGTTATTACACATTCTAAAGGAATGAAATAAGAGTCAGCCATGTGTTATTACACATTTTGAGTGACTGAAATAATCTCTAACACTGCGCTGAAGTACACAGACATCTCAGTATCAGGTTTATTCTGTCAGTTTTTACTATCTCAACTCAGATCATTACAACAGTGAGGTTTGATGGTTGGGGATGTGGGGGGTGGGGGTTACCTGGGACAGAGAGGGTGTCTCCTTGTGATTGGACCCAGTTTAGGTCCCTCATCAGCAAAACGCTCAGAAACCACACCTCCCACAATGCAGTTGGTCGCCTGAAGAGATATAACAAACAACAACAATGAAGACTCAAGAGAAGGTTGAAAAGTAAGGACTGAAAAGTAATCTGTTATGCAGACCTAATCTCTCTCTCTCTCTTTCTCACACATACACACACACACACACCTGCTCTGCATGGTGTTTCATCTCTTTGTAAAGTTCAAAGTTCAGCTCCTCCAGTCTCCTCCTGAAACAGCTGCAGCAGTCCTGGATGACTGAAAGACTCAGACGGGTGCTGAAGAGAGAGAGAGAATACAGTCACATTAACACTTCAGACTGTTATTAATAACATTATTAATAATGTTATTAATAATGTTATGTACTTCAGTGAGTACCTCAGTATAAACTACAGAGGTTTTGTTTACTTTCTTAATTCATGTTCTACAAGTCTAAAATATTTCACCAAACAGAATCTGCACCTGAGGAGTTGATCTTGTTACAGTAACAGTCTGACAGTAACAGTCTAACAGTAACAGTCTGACAGCAACAGTAAAGATCTAACACTAACCGTCTGGCAATAACAGTCTGACAGTGACAGTCCGACTGTAACAATCTGACAGTAACAGTCTGACAGTAATAGTAACAATCTGACAGTAACAGCCCGACAGTAACAATCTGACAGTAACAGTCTGACAGTAACAGCCTGACAGTAACAGTGAGAGTCCGACGGGAACAGTCTGACAGTAACACTAACAGTCTGGCAGTAACAGTCTGACAGTAACAGTAACAGTCTGACAGTAACCATTTGATAGTAACTGTCTGTTAGTAACAGTCTGATAGTAACAGTAACAGTCTGACAGTAACACTAACAGTCTGACAGTAACAGTCTGATAGTAAATGTAACAGTCTGATAGTAACTGTAACAGACTGAAAGTAACAGTGTAACAGCAACAGTAACAGTCTGACAGTAACAGTCTGATAGTAAATGTAACAGTCTGACAGTAACAGTAACAGTCTGACAGTAACAGTCTGATAGTAACTGTAACAGCCTGACAGTAACAGTCTGACAGTAACCATCCGATAGTAACTGTTAGTAACAGTAACAGTCTGGCAGTAACAGTCTGGCAGTAACAGTCTGACAGTAACACTAACAGTCTGGCAGTAACAGACTGATAGTAACTGTAACAGTCTGACAGTAACAGTGTAACAGCAACAGTAACAGTCTGACAGTAACAGTCTGATAGTAACTGTAACAATCTGACAGTAACAGTCTGACTGTAACAGCAACAGTAACAGTCTGATAGTAACTGTAACAGTCTGATAGTAACAGTCTGACAGTAACACTAACAGTCTGACAGTAACAGTCTGATAGTAACAGTAACAGTCTGACAGTAACAGTCTGAGAGTAACTGTAACAGTCTGACAGTAACAGTGTAACAGCAAGAGTAACAGTCTGACAGTAACAGTCTGATAGTAACTGTAACAGTCTGACAGTAACAGTCTGACAGTAGCACTAACAGTCTGGCAGTAACAGTCTGATAGTAACTGTAACAGTCTGACAGTAAAAGTGTAACAGCAACAGTAACAGTCTGATAGTAACAGTCTGAGAGTAACAGTAACAGTCTGACAGTAACAGTCTGACACTGAATGTAACAGTAACAGTCTGATAGTAACTGTAACAGTCTGACAGTAACAGTCTGATAGTAACTGTAACAGTCTGATAGCAACAGTCTGACAGTAACACTAACAGTCTGGCAGTAACAGTCTGATAGTAACTGTAACAGTCTGACAGTAAAAGTGTAACAGCAACAGTAACAGTCTGATAGTAACTGTAACAGTCTGATAGCAACAGTCTGACAGTAACACTAACAGTCTGAATGTAACAGTAACAGTCTGATAGTAACTGTAACAGTCTGACAGTAACAGTCTGATAGTAACTGTAACAGTCTGACAGTAACTGTAACAGTCTGACAGTAACAGTCTGATAGTAAATGTAACAGTCTGACAGTAACTGTCACAACTGAACTGGGACTTGAACCCAAATGCACGACTCCAAGACAAAGTACCAATTAACAATATTTCAATAACAAAGTAGCAAAGAAAAATCACTCACAGAGGAATATAAATTCAAAGTACACAAATAAAACCACTCACAGAGAGGAAAAACTGTAGAACAAAAAAAAACACTCTTTCGAGGAAAACCAACAAAATTTCAGGACACAGGTAAAGACAAAGTATCAAAATAATGTAAAGCAAGACTAGGGCAAAACATAACACCGAATTGGGCTAACGTGGCTGGCATGGTTCTCCGACAACAAGACAAGACAAACTGGCACAGGACATAGGGAAACACAGACTATATACACGCACAAGGTAATGGGAAACAGGTGGAAACAATCAGGGCGGGGCAGACAATCAGACCAGTGGAAACACACAAGGGAAAGGAGGAAGTTACCTGAAACGAGAGGAGAGTTAGGTTTTCAAAATAAAACAAGAAGTCACGAGACAGACAAAACTAAACATAACTTAATGTCTCTTCATGGACATGACAGTAACAGTCTGATAGTAACTGTAACAGTCTGATAGTAACAGTCTGACAGTAACAGTAACAGTCTGACAGTAACTGTCTGATAGTAACAGTCTGATAGTAAGTGTAACAGTCTGACAGTAATAGTAACAGTCTGAAAGTAACTAACAGTCTGACAGTAACAGACTGTTACTAATAGACTGCTACTGCCAGACTGATAGTAACAGTCTGACAGTAACAGTCTGACAATAATCTCTTGACTGTATCTGACCCCTGTATGTGTCACATATAAAGTCCAGTATATGGACTCACCTGTCAGGTGTGAATATGTCCAGGGCAGAGTTCATGTCCACTGTGTTTCCAAAGCGTCGATGCTCAGGGTCCTGCACCACCTTCAGCTGCTTCTTACACTCTGGACTGGACCTGGACCTGGACCTGTCACCTAAACTACCTGATGAACAAAGGTCCAGAGACACCGCCCATGATCAACTGAGTATGAGTTTAACTTTTAAACATATGCTTTAAAACACATTATTCTGACAAATTATCACTGAAGTTATTTTTCTCCAGTCCAGGATCAGATCTGGTTGCAGACAGGTTGTGTGTGTGACATGTGACTCAGGTGTGTTCCTCCATCACTGTCTCACCTGCCTCCAGCAGCTGTCTGAACTGCTCCACAGCTGCATCCACACTGACCTGCAGAAACTCCCAAAGTCGGAGCCTGGAGAAAACCTGCTGCCACAGTACACAGCACAAAGCCTTACAGACACACACACACGCACACGCACACGCACACACACACCTCAGTGTTAGCCTTGGTGTTAGCCTCAATAGCCTCAGTGTTAGACTCAGTGTTAGCCTCACTGTTAGCCTCATTGTTACCCATAGTATTAGTCACAGTATTAGCCTCAGTATTAGCCTCACTGTTAGCCTCAATGTTAGCCTCAGTGTTAGCCATAGTGTTATTCTCACTATAAGCCTCATTTATAGCCTTAATGTTAGCTTCAGTATTAGCCTCAGTGGTAGGCACAGTATTAGCCTCATATTAGCCTCAATGTTAGCTTCAGTATTAGCCTCATTGTAGCCTCAGTGTTAGCCTCAATGTTAGCCTCAGTGTTAGCCATAGTGTTATCCTCACTATAAGCCTCATTTTTAGCCTTAATGTTAGCTTCAGTATTAGCCTCAGTGGTAGGCACAGTATTAGCCTCATATTAGCCTTAATGTTAGCTTCAGTATTAGCCTCAGTGGTAGGCACAGTATTAGCCTCATATTAGCCTCAATGTTAGCTTCAGTATTAGCCTCATTGTTAGCCTCAGTATTAGCCTCAGTGTTAGCCTCAATGTTAGCCTCAGTGTTAGCCATAGTGTTATCCTCACTATAAGCCTCATTTTTAGCCTTAATGTTAGCTTCAGTATTAGCACCAGTGGTAGGCACAGTATTAGCCTCATATTAGCCTCAATGTTAGCTTCAGTATTAGCCTCATATTAGCCTCAGTGTTAGCCTCAATGTTAGCCTCAGTGTTAGCCATAGTGTTATCCTCACTATAAGCCTCATTGTTAGCCTCAGTGTTAGCCTCAGTGTTATCCTCACTATAAGCCTCATTGTTAGCCTTAATGTTAGCTTCAGTATTAGCCTCATTGTTAGCCTCAGTGTTAGTTTCAGTAGTAGGCTCAGTGGTAAGCTCAGTGTTAGCCTCTGTAGGTATTTAGGTACTATTTAGTAGTATTATTAGTATTAGTATTAGTATTAGTATTAAGGATCTGTTGATGGACAAAGTTAACATGTATTGTAATTTATCAGTTTTGTTACTGTATAATAAGTAAAGTAATTTGATTACTTTTTATTGATTAATGTGTAACTCATGACACATGTAAGTGTATTGTACAGGTTGTTGGTGAGAACTGTGAGACTCAACATACAGTCACTCTGTAGCTGTAGAACAAAACAATGAGCTAGCTAAAAGACAATAAAGCTACAAACAACCTGCTAACACTGTGTCTCTACACACCTGTCTCCTAGAGATCACAGTTATATTACACTAATACGTTTCCTAATTCCACTGTAGTTATTGGTCATGGAAAGATATCAAATGAATACCATGTCTCACATGTATGTGCTGCTCATGTTCAATCAGTGCTGGGACTCCCTGTTCAGTATATTTCCCATCAGCCACCTCACAGCTGAGGTGCCACAGAGCTCTGTCCAGGAGCCACGCTGGCTTCAGGTGAGGAGAGTTCACCAGGTTATAGCCACATTCAGGATGGAGGTGAATCCACTCACTGTCAACAGCTGGATGAGGTGAGGAGAGGAAAGGAGGAAACAAGAGGAGAGGATAGGGAGAAACAAGGAGAAGAGTATAGAGGAGAGGAAAGGAAGAAACAAGAGGAGAGGAAGAGAGATATGAGACATGTGTCACCTCTGTATCCAGCCATGTCAACATGCTCTTTAATTCCATAATTGATTGATTAAGACAGTGTCTGTACAGAGGTCAGAAGAGACTCTTATTTCAGTGGTTAAAACTGATTGTGAATGTATTGATACATATTTATACTGTAGTTGAATATTAGGGTTTAACCCCAGAACACTGTAGATGAAAAAGTTTCAGTTACTTTAGGAAATAAAATATGATGAGAACAGATGAGACCTTCTCAGTGACGGTCATGATACCAGGTGTGAAGCTGTACTGATGATAAACTACAGAAACATGGCTGCTCCACATGTCCAAAGTCTCTGAGGACCTGACAGGAAGTGTCTCTGTCTCAGGTACAGTTGTCCTGATCTGATACAGTGCAGTCTGTTAACATGACCACCGTGTGTCTGACCTTCAGCTGAATAACGACTAAATGTCAATGAGGAAAGTGAGACGTTGATGCATCAGCCACAGCTGCCTGAAAGGCCAACAGCTGTGGTTTATTTCCACCATCCTTGTTAAAAATAAGACCAGATCACTTTTCACTCATCGGTCACTGCAGCAGCAGGTAAAGACAGAGGAATACAGAGGACTCAACTGTCACTGACTGTTACATCAACTAATTCATTAAATATCATCCTTCCTGTTACCTCAGAGAGAGACGGGTCACTGATCAGCTGACTGATGATCTGAACCAGATTAAGGTCTTCAGTCCAGAACAGTTTGGGTTCAGGACTGAACTGCTTCCTGCAGAACATCTATGAAAATGAACTTCATGTACTGTTGGATTCGCATGGTGTAGATTAGTGGTTCCCAACCTTTTCCAACTAATGACCCACTTGAAAATCTGTGAAACATCCGACCCCGTAACAATACAGAGGCCAAATAATACATTTTCAGTTTTTATTTTAATGATAATATGGATTAATTAAACTCTTCCTGTTTCTGTTTTGATTCTCCAGTTTTTGCCACGGATGTGATCTTTAAGCGTAATGAGACTGAGATAGTGAACAAGTATATGATGTGGTCCAAGAGTTCCTATCATTGGCTCATCACGGTGACAGGCTTTAATATGAGACAAGTTAAAAATGAAATGGAAAGAGCTTCTCAACATTTGTAATGTTTTTAAAGATCATTTCGTTTTAAAACATTTACATTATTTTTTCATATAATTACATGATTTCACCCAAATTTTGCTGTTTTGCAAATTATTTGTCGGCCCACTTGCAATACCTTCACGGCCCACCAGCGGGCTCCAGTCCACAGGTTGGTTACCCCTGGTGTAGAAAGTCCCTCCTCTGTGACTCCTGTCTGTCTGCTGTCAGTCAGATTCTGTCATTTTCTCTTATTTTCAGCAGGAGTGAGGTGTTTGGTTTTGTCTGTCTTTTCCTTACCCTCTGTCTCTCTCTACACACCTGTCCTTCATCAGGAATCAATACACCTGTCTGCCATCAAGCCACCACTGCATTGCTGTAACATCCCTGCAGAGACAGCCAGTCCCTGACGGATCATTGTGCAGTCTATGTGCCACACTTCTAGCTCTGGCTGCAGTCTTATCTTACACCTGTTCTCTTTGTCTTCAAGATCGCCTGTCTGTTCAGGAGACCTTCTCTATCTACCTGTGATAGTTAGTTAGTTATGTCTCTCTGTGGTCGTGTTGAGTTTCTCTTCGGTCTCTTTCTGTCACTTTGTTTTGAATCTCTTTGTACAGACTCTTTCAGTGATACTTTGCAGGTGAAGCTGTTGTTGTATTGCAGCCTATTAAAGCTAAGACTGTTTAATGATTTATGCCAGTTAATAAATTAGGTGCTTAGGGTGAGTTACTGTTTAAACATCTGCCTCAGGGAAAATATTTACAACCACTGATAAAGACCACTCCATAGGCATGTGTAGGGGGCAGCCGAAGAATACAGAGATAGATATGTGGTAATTTATGTGCATACACTAATTGTCTTCCTTTGAGCGCGCTGAGTTTTAGGTTACACTCGAGGTCGGAGTCAGACGAGAAGGAGAAAGCCAGCGGAGGCAATCAGAAGACGACAAAACGCCCGTGCACATTTCTTTGTTTGTACTTGTATAAATACACTGGATCAGGGAAAGTTAGTTTGTCAGACTATGGACTGACCAACACTTGTTATTGGTTAGGGAAAGCCACATCTGATCCAGAATTGGACATTCACTGGTCTTTTGAGTATTCTGAACACTGCACTCACCCCGTGGGGGTGAGAGTTTTTTTCTGCCAACAGCAGAAGCTACTTCAAAGCCCATGGGGCCCCTAACTCCTTGGGCCCTGGGGCCTGTGTGTTTGGCTTGTTGGTACCTTTACCTGTGTAGTTGTAGACGACATCAGTGATGCAGACCATGTTCCAGTCTCTCCTCAGCATCTCCACCAGATCACCAACGTCTCTCCAGGTGTATGACTTCCCACCAGGTGAGAAGGCAGGGTTTAACTCCAGCTGATCAGATATGGAGTAGCAGGATCCAGATGAGCCGAGCTTCTGCAGCGGGGTGAAGTGGATCATGTTGTAGCCTGAACAGAACCAAGAGGAACATGAAACCGCAGACACAGAGAACTTTGTCTGATCATGGAGGATGCAAACCCCTCCCACACCTGATATTTGACAACCTGTCTTCACACTATGACCTGGGATTGAAACCTAGTGTGTCAGGTTCAGACTTCATGATGCTTCTGTCACTGTGGTGATTACAGACTCATAAATTCTTGCCATGACTTGGCAGAGATGGATCAGACAACATGTTGATACCCCACAAATCACAGCTTGTGACCTTTCCTGTGATCAGAGTCCGACTGAAGCAAAGCAGAGAAGCTGGATGTTACACAGACACAACAGACTTCAGACAACAGCTCAGTCACTGTGGGAGGCAGGTGATAGAACACAGGTGAAACACATTAGGGTGGGATAGAAAATCAACAGGGAGGGAAACAGGACAAAGACAGGAAGTAAAGCAACAGTAGAGACACAAGGAAAGTTGCTTCAAAATAAAACAGAAAATAAACATTAAATGTCCAAAAACATTCAAAGAAGGGGCAGATCATGACACATGAGACAGATCTGTTCTCTCCACTATCAATATAAAATATTAATTAGCATTGCTTTAGTTAGTATAAATGACAAACATCATGCAGGATCATAGTAGACTCAGATATCCCAGTGACAGTCTCCTGTAACACTGCAGGACTTTTTACTCCAAAGTTGAGTATTTGAATGTGGTTAGAAATTAAATATTCAAACTGTAATAACTTGTAATGACCTGTAAAGTCTCTTTAATTCTTCCTTCAAACTAACAAACTTAAGAACTGACCGTTTGATCAGACAGTTTACTGGGCTGAGATTTGAGCTGAATAAAATAGATTCTGTTTTGACCTCATGAAGAGAAAGCTCACTCTCTACAGTCAGTTTTTATGTCACTTACAATATAATATATAAATATATAATACTTAAATCAACTTCATATTAACATATTCTCCCATATGCTCAGTGTTCTCATGTAAAGTACCTGTGTGGTTTTAATTCAGAAAACTGCTGCTGGTTTGTCATGTTGGTCAACATACCGGTCTCCTTTGCGACCCTGACCCTGTCGAGCCATGAGTCCAGGGGTCCGATGCCATGGGCCACGTATGTTTGGCAGCTGATGCAGTCCAGGGGGAGGGCGTCATTGTTGGCCCCCACCCTCAGCACTGGATCAACGACAATGTAACCCCCCCCTACTCTATCTGTGTTCCTGTAAACACATACATTGGTCTGAACACCTGATGAACTGCACACACACTGTAAACTACAGTATTCGCTGCAGCGTTATCATGGTAACAGAAGCACCCACCCACAGGAGAAGTAATACTGGTAGGACCCAGCCACCCTCAGGTCCAGTCTGCAGTATTTGTCACAGTCATCCTCCTGGCTGTTGGGATAGACCCAGTCCAAAGGACGGAACTGCAGACGGTCAAACTCCTGGTCTTTGAGGGGGTAGTTGGTGTACACCTGGACGCTCTTACCCTGAAGGGAGGGGCCGAGACGGAACTGCAGCTCGAAGCCTGAAGACAGCAGGAGGTACAAAGGTTACTAGAGTTCACTGTGAAGTACACATGAGGTCATCAGGTGAGATCTCTCTGTTAAAGCTCCTGGTACATGTTCATGAGGATTCATCTGTGTAATGTCAGTTTTAGAGTTTTTATTGTCTTTATTTTACTTTTATTACCAGCATGACATTTAGATACCAAGAGTATTTTATAAACTAAAGGTCTCTGTCAGTCATCACTTCCTGTCTCCTCCTGATTTTGGCCTCATCATACAGGTACATTTCACTGACTGCACCATAACACACAGGACTGAGCGTGTGGAGCACAGTACATACATCATGACATGCTAATGTCACATGACATGAGTGTCCAGTTCTCTGGTGCAGGACTGAGGGGCCTTGTGGAATGATGGCCTGGACTAGTTAGTAGCTGAGGACTGTGTGAATCCAAACAGCAGCCAGAACCAGGTATTTATTAGAAACATGCTGCTGTTAGAACTTAAAGGTCTCTGTCCATGTGTAGTTTGATTATAAAGCAAGTCTAGGTTTTATATTAATAGAAGAGAAGCTCAGAGCCTCCTCTCTTCTGATTGGCTCACCGACCTGTTGTTACTAGAGCTCCAGAGAGAAGCCTGAGAGAGGAGATATAAAACTACACTGAGATGGTTTTTATATCTTCTTATGGTTCAACACTTTAAATAAAACACAGAAGAAGAAGAAAATATGGAGCTTTAAATCTTGTAATTACAATCATTAAACTGTGATTTCATGTTTCTGGAGATAAATAAATATTGATCAGAGAAAAAAACTAAACAGAGTATGCGAGAGATGACAACAGAAAATAAAACATGCAGGAATAATGTCTAATTTCTAACCAGCAGAGTATCTACGGGCCAAACAAGCTCATCCACCCTTTTAAAGCCAAATGAAGGTGACCTCTGACCTCTGACCTGTGACCCTGAACCAAATCAACATGGCTCCAAACTCACAGTAGAATGTGTTTGTGTTTGTGCTTCAATAGAAGTGACTTGGAGATAATATTTGATTCATAATGTTCTGCTGCTGATGTTTATTTTATCATATGAATTATTAAAGCCATTGGCTTGCTTTAAATAACATGGTGAATATTGTGAGATGTGAACACAGATCATTATTGTTGTGACAGTATCATGTTAAAACACTGAGCTGCTCAGGTGAGGCTTTGTAATCAGAGGTTGGTGTTATACTGTGGATGAACCTGTCTCTCAGTTTAAAAGACAGTGAGTTCAGGACAGCCTCAGACTCTGAGACTACTTCACAGACTGGACGAGAAAACCCAGACCACGTCCCTGACCAGGCTGCAGGACCAGACTGTATAGGTTAAACCTGTAGCACATGGTGTGTGTGTGTGTGTGTGTGTGTGTGTGTGTGTGTGTGTGTGTGTGTGTGTGTGTGTGTGATATTCTGCTGATTGTAGCACAGTTGCTCTGCAGGTAACGGTGTAGTGGTGTTGTCAATGTCTTGGTGCAGTGTGTGTTCTGATTATAAAGTGCAGAGTGTTCCTACCTTGTTCCAGGCGGAACAGAGCTGGTTCCAGAGTCTCCATGTCAGTGACAGCAGCAGCCTCGGCTCTGTCAGCTGCTCTCCAACACGCTGTCTGATCTATTTAGACAGAGACACAGTAACATGAGACGCTCTGCACACAGCTCTGTGTGTGGACGACCTCCTCTGCCAAAATCACTGACAAAGACTGAACTGATTCTGTTATCTTGAACTGCCTTCTCATCAACATGTTATATACTAGTGTAAGGAACTGTCTATTGATGGATTTAACTCCAGCATTAATGATACTGAGGCCTTTTGTTTTCTGTCTGAAAAGCTGGAGGATAAAATGTTTGTGTGCTGCAGTTTGTTTTACAGCTCATGACTGGTTTTCAGTCTTTAGAGGTGACGCACTGACCTGGGGAACAGGTAGGTTTTATTACCTGTTTGCTCCCCAGACTGAAGCACCTCTTTGTTAATTAAGAAGAGCACACCATGACCAGAGTCCAGCAGCTTCAGAGTTTCAGCTCTTGACGTCCACCTCACAGCTGAGCGCTGTCTGCTTCAGTATCACACTGTTATGTTGAACATCAGCTTTAAGACCAAACTAATACAGCAGGTAGACTCCTTTTCTTTAACTTTAAAAGCTGTAACCACCACATGACAGAGGTGTTGACACGTCTGTCTCCAAACTGAGAAAGGGGCTGAGCAGCAGGTAACAGTTAACAGGTAATCTGTGACACACAGATTCATGCAGTGGTCATGATCAGGAGTCCAGCAACATCACTCTGACAAGTATTATTTCCTTTGGAAAACCACAGTATTTTGTTCTGGCATGTTGTAGGACAACAGATATCAGGCGTTATAATAAAGACATTATTTGTTGTACAGAGTCTGTAACTCACTGTAGATGCTGTAAATACTGTAGAAACTAGATACTTTAGATACTGTAGATACTGTAGATGCTGAAGATACTGTAGATACTGTAGATGCAGTAGATAATGTAAATGCTGTAGATGATGCTGTAGATACTGTAAATACTGTAGATACTGTAGATGCTATAAATACTGTAGAGATTGTAGATACTGTAGATACTGTGGATACTGTAGATACTGTAAATACTGTAGATACTGTAGATACTATAAATACTGTAGAGATTGTAGATGCTGCAGATGCTGTAGATACTGTAGATACTGTAAATACTGTAGATACTGTAGATACTATAAATACTGTAGATATTGTAGATGCTGTAGATGCTGTAGATACTGTAAATACTGTAGATACTGTAAATGCTGTAGATACTGTAAATACTTTAGATGCTGTAGATACTGTCGATACTGTGGATACTGTAAATACTGTAGATACTTTAGATACTGTGGATACTGTAGATGCTGTAGTTACTGTAGATGCTGTAGATACTGCAGATGCTGTAGATGCTGTACATATGTTCTATGTTGACTTGTTCTTCATTGGAATACTAATAATCTAATACTCCCTGTGGAAACTGTCAACTGTTTGGTCCAAACCAAGCCCCTAAGTTAACCCTGCATCAAAGATGGAGGAGTAATTGATTAAATTTGAATAATACTTTCTCCTACATCATCTGTACATTCACACCAGGTGCAGCATTAATCAGTTACACAGAGACTCACAGGGACAAACTGGAGAGTACTCATCTGTCCACCAGGGGGGGCTATGATCTGCTGTGCAGAAAGAAGAGTGAGAAGAAGAAGAAGAAGAAGAAGAACTCCCAGAAGTCCTCTGTCAACTGAAGCAGACTCCACAAACTGAACCGGTCGTTGTGACAGAAACATGGCGGCCTTCAGTAAATATGTGACTGCGAAGAACTCCTCGATAGCAGGTGGCGTTTTACTGGTTTTATACCTGCTGAAGCACCGACGACGGACGGCCAGGCAGGACGGGTAAGTGGGCGGAAGTACGGAGAGAAAAGGTGTAAAAACTCAGGTCTTCAGGTGAGTCTGTGACGACTGTTAGGATGCTAATTAGCAGCTGCTACCTCCCAGTCTGACAGGTGACAGCGACCTGCTGCTGCCGCCGGGCCGTTTCACCGACCCGCTAAAATCCCGGTTCAGTCTCCGATCAACGAAGGTCTGAGCTCCGAGGAAAGATGGCGGATCAGTGTGACTGAGTCAGTGTGAACGAGTCTGTCGGTGGTTTGAACTCTGACAGTTTCTGTCTCTTCTGATCAATACATTCAATTTAAAATGATCAGTTCAATCTGTCGTCACTTGTAACACAGCACTCCCTTGTAACAACACTGCTTATAACATAAGAACAAGTGATAGAGCATGTCAGTAACTGTTAATAAATACTTTAAAAATATGTTTAACGGGGAGAAAACAAATCATTAACTCTGAGACCTGTTTATAGTCAGAGTGATTATAACCAGGAATATATACATTAAACTGTCATCATCTCTCTGTGTTTAAAATCTTCACTGCCAGGATATTTTTTCACTCAATAAATATATTAACAGAACCGTGACTGTTGTCATGGAGATTCATCACTGTCTCTGTTTCATCAGTGGAGCAAAAGAGAAAAAATAACCAACATTAAAATTGTTTATGGATCAAATTACCTCACAGGAATATCTGTTATCTGAACTTCAGCAGGTCCATGCAAAGACCAATATTACCATAAAGATGATTTGCATTATTGTTCACAATAGGCCAACACAGCCAGAGACATAAGTTTTATTATTGATGAGAGATAATGGCATCTGACATGAAGGAGGGGATGATCTGTGTCCAGGGACAGTCCATTAATCACGTTCTTTAATTGAGTTTTATAATCTGTCTGATTTGATTCATGTTCTTTCTTTGCAGAAGAAAAGGAGGCTCAGATCTATTGCTGAACACTGAGGTAAGTCTGAGGCTCATAAAGGTTCAGTAGAGTCAGTAGAGTCTGTTCAGTAGAATCACCTGTGTTGTTTCTATTCATACAGAAAGATGGAAGCAGAAAAGACAGAGCAGTGGTGGACAAGGTTTTCTTCCTCCGAATCCTCCGGATTCTGCGGATCATGGTTCCTCGACTCTTCTGCAAGGAGGTAAGACTCTGATGTTAATATATTCTTAAAATTAATGTTTATACTTCCAGCTGTAGTCCAGATGTTTTCAGTGGTTGAACCTCATCAGTGAAGGACAGGGAGACAAATCTCAGGGGTAAAGAGCGGGCAGATGTTTATGTTAATGAGGTAATTCAACTGATTTTAACTTTTTGTGGTAAAATCATCAGACACAAATTATTGTAATCGTTAAATCTGAGTGTATGAGCAGATCTTTAAAGGTCCAGAGCAGTTCATTAGCAGAGCAGCAGCAGCTTTAGTGTTTCCTCTCTGTCAAATAGGACTCAGTCAGCACAGTGTTTGTAGCTACACGTGTAAAAAGTGTAATAAAGTTGAGGTGATGTGTGTGTGTGTGTGTGTGTGTGTGTGTGTGTGTGTGTGTGTGTGTGTGTGTGTTTGTGTGTGTATATAAGGCAGCAACAGGTCCAGGTGAGGAGCTTCAGTTAATGAGGACAAATGTGATCTCAGAGACTCTGAGCTTCATGATTGTTGGTGTCAGATGGGTGAAAATCAAAAAGCTCTGAATAGATCAGATGGGTCAAAGGTCAGAGGTCAGCGAAGCAGGGACAGACTGGTTGAACTATGCTGAGCAGAGTCTGGACAGTTAAGTGGAAAAACCACAAAACTAAAGTCGTCTCTAACTGGTTTTAGCAACATGACAGTGAGTTCAGTGAACTTCAGTGACTGGAAAGTTTAGTCTTTCTAACATTTGAACTGATTGTGGTTTATATCTGTGATAAGAGAATATTGTCTGATCATATCAACCTTATTGATTAATTAAAGACACACTGAGGGTCTCCCACTTTAAACTGTGTTAAACTGTGTTAGAAGCTTTTAGCAAACATAGAAAGTCTGTTGTAAGGACGCTCAGCATACAGCAGGTGATGTCACAGGAAGTTTCACTAAGTGATGTTAAACTTCTATCTGTTTAGTTCCTGTTTGTCTGTGCAGAGAGTTCAGATCATAAAACATATAAACATTTTATTAAGAGTTATTAAGAGGGGCCCTTAGACACAGAGAGCGGGGCCCTTTGACACAGATTCATGGGCTCCAGAAGCCAAGGTCACAGTCACATGGCTCCTCTCTTCAGTATTATCCGATCAGTGCAGCAGATATGAGTCAAGGGCAGGAGATAAGAGACTTATGATGTGCAGAGTTTCACAGGCTGGACTCACTCTGGACTTGTTGTCATCATCACAGACCGGATACCTTATCCTTATCGCCGCCATGTTGGTGGCCAGGACCTACTGTGACGTGTGGATGATCCAGAACGGCACCATGATTGAAAGGTCAGAGTCTGTCTACATCATGACTGTTGAAGGTTTTATTTTGGGTTTTGTGTTTTATCCTGTTGCAGCCATGACAGCTCTGTTAGTGCTTTATGTCCACATGTGAACAAGTCCACACCTGACTGACAGGTGAGCAGTGTGAGTGTGAGGACAATGACAGACTCAGGACTGGATGTAAAACAGTACAGAGACCTGTCAGCATTTAAATCAAGCTCCAACCTCCAGACTGAAACATAAAGCTAAAAGCTGCAGTTCCTCTAATGACCACTAGAGTCTGGCTCCAACAGTGAGTCAGTCCCCATAGACTCCCATGTTAAAATGTCCAACTTTACAGCAGAAATAAACATGATTACAGCCTGGTACAAAAACTGTTTTGGTCTCTAGAGATAATTTCCTCCTTCGTGACACCTGTTTATATAACTCACCTGTTTACATTTTATCAAGGACTAAAGTTATGGAGGACTGAGGGCGTGGCCTCTTTGAGTGACAGGTCGGTGAGCGTATGCTTGTCACAGATCAAACCAAAGTCTCAGCTCTCCACACACGCTTCTCCTCTTTGACCATTTTTGGATTAGCTGGGAGTTAGGGGCGGAGTCAGACACTGCCAAGTTGGTAACAGTGAGGCAGCTCACTCTGAGCTTCAGAAACCTGTGGGTGACGTCCATCTTTATTTACAGTCTGTGGTTCAGACCCATGAGTCCTCAGTATATTACATTATTACATGGCCTTCATTTGAGCTCAACTACTCACTTGTAGAGTTTCTTGACCTGTCAGTCCTCAGACCTCCCCTGAGGTTCCTGCTACAGTAGGAGTCTCCAGAACTACATTTACCATGAAGACAGAGCATCACTGTCAACAACTAATGACGTCTGTCAAGTGGCTCCAGACCATAAAGACCAAAAGCTACAACTTCAGATTTTACCTCAGAGATGAGTTCATGTAGAATGAATATGTTTTTAACTCAGTCTACCACCAGTGTCACACTGTGACCTTTTATAGAGCAGTAACTGTTATTATTATTATTATTATTATTATTATGTCATTCTCTTCTTGTTCAGTGACATTACAGTGACAGATGGACTGTCCCATCATGCATTGCTGTTTGATTGTGTGCAGGAACTGATGACTTTGTTCTGACTCTCCACAGTGGTATAATAAGCAGAGACATGAGTCTGTTCAAGAAGCACTTTTATTCCTACATATCAGTCATACCAGGGGTAACTGTCCCAACACCGAGAACCACCATGAACCATTAACACTGTAACGTGGCTGTGTGAGTGTTCTGTTGGGCTTCTTCATCCTGCACAGCTTCACACTGACCTGTGGGTTTTAACAGGAGCTCAAATTAATCAAAATTAAAACAATTAACACTGGAAAACATGGAGTTCCATTCAATTTATGTTATCTATTTATAAATGTGCATTTCTTCTGACGTCAGTGAGCGTGATGTTTCAGGAGTTTCTCTTTGGTGTCTAATTAAATAATGAGACATTAATCAGATAAAGTAGTGATGGGAGGAAACTCTATGACTGTCGGATTATTATCAGCTTTAAAGTCACAGGTCAGTGTCTGATGGATTCATCAATTTAAAGCCATAACGTTTTATATCAGCATCATGGTATATTTAAATTCAACAGCAACGTAAACTGTTCACTGTGTTATTGTAGAGGTCACAGGTGATGATGATGATGATGACGAGGATGATGAAGATCAGTGGTCTGCGGACACATTAAGCCGCAGTCAGTGTGTGAATGATTTAATGATATCAATATAATGAATATAAAATCTGTCATTAAGACAAAGTTAATGCAGAATTTATCTTGTGTTCATCATCATCTTCATCTTCATCATGGCCAACAGCTTGCTGCGGGGATTTTTCAGTTGAAGATATTTGTGAGTGAGATGTGTCGTCACATGGAGCAGAGCAGGTCGTCTGATATTAATTAAGTTATAGATGAACGAGTGACGACGTCCAAACCTGGTGATCTGACAGAAGCGTTCGTTTTAGTTCGTCAGACAGTTCAATGGTTCATTTAAAATGGAAGTAATGGTTTCTTCACAATAAGACTACCTTTATAAAGGCTTTATGAGTGGTTTATAACTAGTTTATTAGCCTGTTTACACTTTATAAATCCTTTATAAGTGTATAAGTCTTATTGTAGTGTGGTACCAAAGTAAGTACATTTTAACATTACATTTTTAACAGCTGGAACTGCTGCTGCAGGTGAATACTCAGTTTGTCTGGTTCTCTACAGGAACTCTGTGTTTTGTCCATAAGTAGAAACTTCATCAGTAACTCAGAGTCTTTGATTCTCTCTGGATTATAACGTTCCTGTTGCTTGATTTAGAGCTGACTTTATTTTATTCTATTATTAGGAGTAAAACTTGTCACTGCATTCACTGTTTGTTCTAATGAATTCAGTTACAAAACAATGTTGGTCGTGCAGTGACATCAGGTGGGGGGGGGGGGGGGGGGGGGGGGGTCAGAGCTATAAATTGAATGTTCCTTGTATTAACTGTCAGGACTCCACTGTCACAGTCTGATTCCTGTCAGTGAGATGTTGTTGTCGATGTTGAATTGGTTCCTCAGGACATTGAATTGATGAAGCTTCAGTATCTGTCCCTCTGACCCCAACCCCCCACCTCCCCTTCTGTGATGTTGGCTCATCTCTCTGCATGTTGTGGTTTGCAGTGCAATTATCGGTCGCTCCACAAAAGATTTCAAGATCTACTTGTTCAGCTTTATCAAATTCATGCCACTTGTAAGTGTGTTTTTGTTAACTCTTCCTTTTGAAACACTTTTTGAAGTGTTGTCTTAATTATTACATATGTTTATATGTTTACATAGTGCTCTGTAAAGTCTGTAGTTCAGTGTTTCTGAAGAGTACAGAGGAGACCCTGACATTTATAATTACACTTACTAATTTACTGTAACACTAAATGTCCATTGAATCATTTCATGCATTTATAAATACAGTAGAACCATTGACATGATCATTGTTCTGAGCTAACACGTCTGTCACTGTTTAATGGCTGGAAATACTCTGTTTCTATTGTAAACAAAAGCAAAAGACAAGACAATAACTCATAGTGTCAGTATATCCTGACGTGTGTGTGTGGGGGGGATCAGTGGCACAGAGGACTAATATATCGAACTCATTAATAGGATAAATTGATTACTGTTTTGTTTACAATAAGACAAACAGATTGTTTTCAGCCTGGTGAAGTTTTCTTTGCTCTTTTAAATTATATTCTGCATGTGCATGTCCTTTACTCCCTGTCCTCTACTAAAACAAAGAATCAGCATGTCCTCTCTTACTGTCTGACTGTAACTCTGACTGACTCTGACTATGTCTGACTGACTCTGACTGACTGTGTCTCTGACTGACTGTGACTCTGACTGACTCTGACTGACTGTGTCTCTGACTGACTGACTCTGACTATGTCTGACTGACTCTGACTATGTCTGACTGACTGACTGTGTCTCTGACTGACTGTGTCTCTGACTGACTGTGACTCTGACTATGCCTGACTGACTCTGACTATGTCTGACTGACTGACTGACTCTGACTGATTGTCTCTGACTGACTGATTGTCTCTGACTGACTGTAACTCTGACTGACTCTGACTATGTCTGACTGACTGACTGTGACTCTGACTGACTGTGACTCTGACTGACTGTGACTATGTCTGACTCTGACTGACTGTGTCTCTGACTGATTCTGACTATGTCCAACTGTGCCTCTGAATGACTGTGACTCTGACTGACTCTGACTATGTCTGACTGTGACTCTGACTGTTGTCTGACACTTGTCTCTGTGTGACCGGCTCGTTGCAGATTGCCTTGGTGAACAACTTCCTGAAGTTGGGCCTGAACGAATTGAAGCTGAGGTTTCGAGAGAGGCTCACAAAGAGTTTATATGACCAGTACCTGCAGTGAGTACTGCAGCAGAATCACAGCTGCTGTCCCACCACTCACTCAGTCAGATTTAATTTAATGTGGTTAATAAGTAAATTAAATTTAAAGTCAGTCAGTCATTTCATTTAATGTATTTAATAATTAAATTTAAATTAAGTCATTTTATCTATAACATAATTTATCAAACAGACACCTGAGCAGCAAATGAGACAATTATAGATACTGATTAATACTGATTTTATTGGTTTAATGTGGTTGCAAAGATCTGTTGTTGGTCAACATTAGTACTCTGGGAAACGTGGACACTTAAACTATTATTTGATTTAATAATTGATTAAAAAGATAAATAACAAATCGATAGATAAGCAGAATAATCATCTAGTGTTGTGACTGTGTAACTGACCTGAGATATAAGATACACAATCAGCCTGGTGCATTGAAAACAGTACAGAAAACAAATGGCTCATGAAGTCAGTCATAGCTATGGATTCTCTGGTTCTGACTGTCACATGTAGAACCTGGTCTTGTGTGGGGCCTGGTCTCTGAGTCTTGTGTTCTGGCTCCGCAGAGGTTTCACCTACTACAAAATGGGAAACCTGGACAACCGGATAGCCAACGCAGACCAGCTGCTGACACAGGACGTGGAGAAGTTCTGCAACAGTGTGGTGGACCTGTACTCCAACCTCAGCAAGGTACTGACTGTGTATACTGTCAGCTGAGACTTGATCCGGTTCAGGATCAGGAAGTCCAGGAGTCATAGATCAGAGAGGAAGGATCATCACTCCATCAGGTCACCTCTGATCTATGACTCACTGCAGCCAGACTGTAGAGGGTCAGTCCAAGACTGGACAAATAGATCCTCCATAGATCGTTTATAGACTCTGTGTGTTCAGGGGCCAGTTGCAAAAAACACCTTAAGTTTTCTTGTCACTTAAGGTTGAATTTCTCCTTAGCTGAGGGATTTACTTAAGGGTGTTGCACAGAATCAAAGGTTTCATTTGTTAAGGAAAACATTTTTACAGCAGTGAAGGAGATTTTACAGCGATAAAATTCTACAGTTTCCATGGAGACCGTTTGTTTGCTGGCAGTAGCGCTTGTGACAGCGGTGAACATCTCACCTGTATCGTCTCACAGAAGAAGGAAAGTGGAGTGATCAAATCATCAATAACTGCTGATCAAATCTATAGAGTAAAATCAATAAATCCATTCCTCTGGTTGAGGCTCCATCAGGTTCAAACTCTTGTTGGGACGTTCCTCCTCTTCATCTCTCACCATGAACTCAGACATGTTGAGTTCAGAGACGATCAGAGGAACCTGAAGGTTTCTCTTTAGTTCGGTCTCTAAGGTCTTTTACAGTTTAATGACTTTAAGTGTTTCCTTAAGTATCAGACTGAGATCAGGAGAAACCTTAAATACTTAAGTGAATATATTAAGGAATCCTTAGGGAGAAGACTTAAGGGTGTTCTGTGCAACAGATTTTATTATTTCTGTTTTATTTTTATGTTATTTGTATTTTATTTTAAGGAAATCTTAACTTAAGGTGTTTTGTGCAGCTGGCCCCAGATGTTTTAGAAAGACCTGAATCCACAGACTTGACCCAGACAGAGCAGGTGAGCTGTGTTGTTGTATTTCATCATGTGTAAACATGGATATGTAAACATCCTCATTTGGTCTGAGGGAGAGGTTACATGAGGTCATTGAACCAGGTTTACCCACAGATACACGAGTCCGTTCATACATCATGATGATTCAGAGCAGACCAGCTGAGGTGACCCAGGGTCATCTGAAGTCCTCCTCTGTTGTATAGACCTCACTGAATTTATTATCTAGCAGCATCATCTCCAGCTGTGTGTCCTCTGTCCTGCAGCCTCTGTTGGACATCGGTCTGTACATCTTCAAGCTGACAAGTGCCATCGGTGCTCAGGTGAGAAGATCACAGAAACACAGATTATCTCCAGCTGCTTCTTCTTCTGCAGGTTTTCTTCAGTCTGTGGAAATAGACCACTTCTTCTTCTTCTTCTTCTTCTACTACTTCTTCTCCTCTTTTTCCTCCTCCTCCTTCGTCGTCGTCTTCTCCTTCTCTTTCTCCTCCTCCTCCTCCTTCTTCTTCTTCCTCAGATTTCACCATCATCCTGCATCTTTTTAAACTGAATCTGCACAGGAGAGAAAATGTGTTTCATGTAATCACGGTCTTTACTACACACATCCTACAGTGACAAACAGGAAGTGATGTCATTGTGTTAACCCCCCTCCCCAGGGCCCAGCCATCATGATGGCCTACCTGCTGATCTCTGGTCTGTTCCTGACCAGACTGAGGAGGCCAATAGGAAAGATGACAGTGACGGAGCAGCGCTACGAGGGAGAGTACCGCTACGTCAACTCCCGCCTCATCACCAACAGGTAAAACACCTGCAGCAGCTCAGACTCTTGTCGCTGTTCACTGGAACACTGTAACATGTGGGTATGTCTTCTTCCTCTTCAGTGAGGAGATCGCCTTCTACAACGGGAACACGAGGGAGAAACAGACCATCCACTCCACCTTCAAAAAGCTGGTGAGTCCCGGTTTGACAGTGTTTAGCCTCCATGACCAGGTCCTCTGTCACCTATGACCTCTGACCTCTGACTGCTGTTGCTGGGTATAGTCAGGAGTGTGTTGTGGTACCTGTAACCCCACCCACCAGTGATGTCACAGTGTCCTGGTGTAGTCCTCTACGACACAGCAGCAGGGAGAGAAGTTAAAGCACTGGAGCATCAGTGTTGTCATTGGTTATAAACCAGAGACACATGATGTACAACATCTGGCTGCATCACGTGTATGACAACCACAGAAATATCAGGTTTTATTCTGAAAGGAACAGAACTTTATTATATTATATTGTATTATATTATAGAATATTATATTATATTATAGAATATATTATATTTTATATTTGTAAGAGATGCTATGACAGTGTAGATTGTCTGTCCTCATCACTGTGTGTTTTCCTTTATTTATTTCATCCTGCAGGTGGATCACCTACACAACTTCATCTTCTTTCGTTTCTCCATGGGGTTTGTGGACAGTATAATAGCCAAGTGTAAGAAGATATGTTTCTTAATTTAATTAACTATATTCAGGTCAAATCATTGGAATGTATTAATTTGCTTTACTAAAAGTAAGTATAAAAAAGTAAACATTTCAACAAACAACAAATAAAAGAAACATACAAACACATAAATATTAGTTTTGTTTTTTCGACACCGACTAACAGACACAGATTCATATTTTCCGTTTAATCTAAATGTGGATCCATAATTTAAATAAATTAGATTTAGTTTCCTTTAATTATACATAATGTTTTATATGGAACAGGACTTGGTGTTAACACTGATACTGATTCCTGTGATTAAGTTGGGTCTTCTTTCCCTCTCCCTCTCTCTCTGTCTCCCTGTCTCTCTGTGTCTGTCTCTCTCTCCCTCTTTCTCTCTCTCTCTCTCCCTCTCTCTCTGTCTCTCTCTCCCTCTCTGTCTCTGTCTCTCTCCCTCTCTGTCTCTGTCTCTCTGTTCTCTCTCTCTCTCTCTGTCTCTCTCTCTGTCTCTCTCTCTCTCTCTGTCTGTCTCTCTGTCTCTGTCTCTCTCTCCCTCTCTGTGTCTCTCTCTCCCTCTCTGTCTCTCTCCCTCTCTGTCTTCTCTCTCTCTCTCTCTCTCTCTCTCTGCAGACCTGGCCACTGTGGTGGGTTACCTGGTGGTCAGCCGGCCATTCCTAAATCTGTCCCACCCCCGACACCTGCACAGCACACACTCTGAGCTGCTGGAGGTTAGACACATACACACACACACACACACACACACACACACACACACACACAGAGAGAGAGAGGTCGGGTCTTGTATGTATGACACCGACCTGTCAGACCAGTCCACAACCAGGTCGTCTGGTTCTTATTCCAGTGACCCTGTCTCTAAATACAGACACACTGAAGGTTTCTGGTAGAAACATGTGGAACAGTGTGAAGCCTGTTTCAGAGCTGTGATGTTGTAGTGATGTGACCTAATCTGGATACTGCAGGACTATTACCAGAGTGGGAGGATGCTGCTGAGAATGTCCCAGGCCCTGGGCAGGATTGTACTGGCTGGTCGAGAGATGACCCGCCTCTCAGGGTGAGTGATGTAAAACACTGACACTGCTCATTTTACCTGTCCTCACAGCTGCTGTCATTGTCCGGTACTGATAATATCATCTCTCTGAATGAGACTGACCCAGGATCTGTTCTGATCAATTACATCTTCATCTGATTCATGTTGTCTCAGGTTCACGGCTCGCATCACTGAACTCATGAAAGTCCTGAAAGAGCTGAATGCTGGGAAATATGAGCGCACCATGGTCTCCCAGCAGGAGAAGGGTACACATGACTCCTAATCACAGATATGTGTATATATATATCTATATAGATATATATTCATATTAAATAACTGCAGCTGTTTGTTCCTTCGCCTCAGAGTTGGACGCTGCAGAGAAACTCGTCCTGGTGCCTGGAAGTGGTCAAATTATCAACAGAGACAACATCATCAAGTAAGTCAGGCTCTTATTGGACACTTTAATATAAAATATAATTTATTTTTCTGAACTCAGTTGATTGATGTTTATTTTTAGGTTTGACCACACTCCACTAGCTACACCCAACGGAGACGTCCTGATCAGAGACCTCACATTTGAGGTAAAGCTCTCATCATCATCATCATCATCATCATTATGAGATAGGTGAACTGGGATTCACTGAATCAATGAATTAGTTTGAAATCTGGTTCAGTTTGTTTTATCAGGTAATGAGACAAGAAGAAGTCAGTGACCCTTTAGAACGATCCGTGTTTATGTATGAATTTATTTAAAACCTGATCAGATCTTTATCTAAGTTACAGTAAGGAACAAACACAATCTGTCTGAACTAACAACACACATTCAAACAGTCAGAGTGCAGCTGAAACAGTGTGTGAACCTCAACTAATGATATGAACAGAAGCTACAGGAGCCAGGAGTTATCAGACTCCAGGCTCCAGAATCATAAAACTGTAGATTCATGACTGAAACTATGTGACGCACAAAACCAGAAATATTCAGACACATTCCCTTCATCAGAATTATAAATTATATATTATATATATTATAAAGCCGTGCGTTCACATGGTTCCTCTTTATAAATCTCACTCATGTGAACGAGCCTCATTTCTATTCCCACAATTCTCCATAAATGGATGAAGACTCTCCCCTAATCAATCAGTTTGTATAGAAACAAGTGATCAGACACAGAGAAGAAAGACGAGACAGAAGAACAAACTGAGGTAAAAATATCATCAGTTTACTTCAGTACAATCACTCTGATGTAAAGTCCTGTTTCACTCTGAGCTTCATTTACTGGGACTAGAGTCTTAACGAGGCTCCAGAGGCTCCGACACTGAGATCAGTCAATATTAAAATATCAGACAGTTACACAAGGACTCACGATCAATAATAAGATATTAGACACAAACACAATTATCTCTGTTTATCAAATGTTAAATTATTATAAAACTTATAATGATGATAATGATCTGTGTAGAACTGTGTGTTCACATGTCACAGGAAGTGAGGTAACACTGTGTTTATGAAAACTAATTCATGAGCAGGAAATGGTGAATGCATGGTTTCTGTGTGTACACGTCATTTATGAATCAGACCCTGGAGTCAGTCAGTGAAACCAGACTGGAGGTTTAGAGGCTCAGACACTTTGACTTATAAAGAGGAACATCAGAGAGACTGAGGATGAAGAGTTCAGATCTTCATCAGTCCACAGTCACAGACTCTGTGTGTGTAGAAACCAGGTCGTTCTTACACGTGTGTGTGATTTTACAGGTGTGTGTTCAGGTGTGTCTCTGTCATGTTGTGTGATTGTGTCTCTGTTCTGAAGGTTCGGTCTGGTACCAATGTTCTTGTGTGTGGACCAAATGGCTGTGGAAAGAGCTCCCTGTTCAGAGTGCTGGGAGAGGTGAGAACCAGTTACTGTAGCTAACTGGGAACCAAAGCTAAACCAGTTTGTTCAGTAAATAGACACATTTTGAACATTTTGGTTTGTTTATTAATATAAAGTTACTCCACATGTGTTTACAGCTGTGGCCTCTGTTTGGAGGAAGCCTGACAAAACCTGAGAGAGGGAAGCTCTTCTACGTCCCACAGGTAAACATCCTCTGTAGGTCACGTCTTCACTCACACCTCAGACTCTCACGCCTCAGACTCTCACGCCTCAGACTCTCACGCCTCAGACTCTCACGCCTCAGACTCTCACGCCTCAGACTCTCACGCCTCAGACTCTCACGCCTCAGACTCTCACTTCAGACTCTCAAATCTCAGACTCTCACGCCTCAGACTCTCACGCCTCAGACTCTCACGCCTCAGACTCTCTCACCTCAGACTCTCACGCCTCAGACTCTCACTTCAGACTCTCAAATCTCAGATTCTCACACCAGATGTGTTTCAGCTGCAGTTATTTTAGTTATTATAGTTGTTATAGTTATAAGCAGCAACACGGTTTATGCTCAGGTAAAGTTGATCCATGACTCATGAGACCCAGATTCTGGATCAGGACATAACGTAGTGAAATCAGACACTGTTTCCATGACTACAGATACAGGTTTTACAGTGTGTTTGTACTGAATGTTTAGGGTTAAAATCTCAGGTCTGTTCAAACATCAAAGTTCAGTGATTTAAAATAAACTGTGAGAATTGAACTGATGGAGGAGGAGCTGAGTCTTCTGGTTCTGTGTCGGTCCAGAGACCCTACATGACTCTGGGCTCTCTGAGGGACCAGGTCATCTACCCCGACACCTATGAGGAGCAGAGGAGGAAAGGCATCTCTGATCAGGTGAACACCACACACACACACACACACACACACACACACACACCCTTACTTCACCTCCACTGCTGTGTGTGTGTTTCTAATTACAGTCATCATCTGTGTGTGTGTGTGTCCAGGTGTTGAAGGATTACCTGGACAACGTTCAGCTGGGTCACATCCTGGACAGGGAGGGCAGCTGGGACTCAGTCCAGGACTGGATGGACGTCCTCAGTGGAGGGGAGAAGCAGAGGATGGCTGTAAGGAAGCAGCACACACTCACATCAGAGTCACATCACTGACAACACGTCATTCTGTTAGTTTAGAAAAGATCATGATTGATTTTCAGATATCTGCAACAACAGTCGATGCTCCTGATTCCAGAGACGGACTGACCAGGACTGAATCACCAGTTTCTGTGCTGAATGTCTAATTAGCATCAACATGTCCCTGTTTCTGGAAGATGAAAAGTTATTTTTTAGTCTGTGTCAAACTCTCCTGGGCCTCGACCACAGAGGAACCTTCTCACGTAGCTCAGTGTTAAACTGTCTCTCAGTCCTGTGGTTGAGGGTTCAAATCCCACTGCTGCTTCAATCCCAGCTTCTCTTCATGATGTCTGATGATCATCTACACGACTTTAAATCCAACATGTGAACAGATGAACTTCCTGCCTTCATCTTTAGATCATTAGATCAAATCAGTCTGATCAATCAGGTGATCAGGTTTAAAGTCAAACCTAAAACATTAGAGATGGATGAGATTGAAACATTGAATTAAGAGTTAAATATATGTGACTCATTGATAAGGAGCTTGCTCTCAGAGCAAAGGTGAAAGGTTCAAACTGTGATTCACTTCACCAGGTTCCTGGTCTGAGTCTGTTCCTGTCTAGACCTGGTATCAACATCTGTCTCAGGTGATCCCATCACAGTGGTCAGCTCTAAGTTCAGGTGTTAACACCAGGTCTGAACAGGCCTCTGTCTCATGATGAAATGAAAACAAACACATTTCATTAACTAATGACAAACAGTCATCCACATGTTCCTGGTGCTGCTTCCAGACTTGTTTGTTTGTTTGTTTGTTTGTTTGTTTGTTTGTTTGTTTGTTTGTTTATGTTAATGAAGATGTTGGGGTCATTCAGTCATGAGACCATTGATCTTTTGTATCTGTTAAACTGTCAGAAAAACTGCATCAGTCACAGATTACTGGACCTTCATTAATGATTCTGGTTTTAGTTAATGATGATGATGATGATGTGTGTCTGTTGCTGTGCAGATGGCCAGACTGTTCTACCATAAACCTCAGTTTGCCATCTTGGATGAGTGCACCAGTGCAGTGAGTGTAGACGTGGAGGATTACATCTACAGCCACTGCAGGACGGTACGATACAACAACAACAACAACAACACAACACAACAAGAGTTACAGCAACACGACAACAACACACAACAACACAAGAGATACAACAACACATCAACAACATGACAAGAGATACAACAACACACACCACAAGCTCGTCACCTCCTCTTAGTCAAAGAAATCATGTTGAACAGTATTTTCTCATATTTCTCATTAATGAATTGAACTGAACAGATTAGCATGTCACGTGTTAGCTGTTGGTGTTTGAATGCCTCAGAGTGTGTGTGTGTGTCGTGTGTGTGTCGTGTGTGTGTCGTGTGTGTGTGTGTGTCCTGTGTGATGATTATTTTATGATGAAGCTGTTCATCAGATGTTAGAGTTCACAGTTCAGCCTGGTGACCGTGTGATGGAGAAGCTTCCTCTGTCACAGTCCTTGTTTGTACTTCAAGTTAACACAGTTATAACCTGTCTGATGTAGATGAGGGTCTCTTCCTGTTGATCTGGATCCAGTACTACCTGTGTTTTCTTTGATTGACAGGTGGGCATCACCTTGTTCACAGTGTCCCACAGAAAGTCTCTGTGGAAGCACCACAAGGTAAGAACAGATGGTTCCACTGCTTCACTGCAGGATGTCAGTTCACATACTCAAGGTATCCAGTAGTAAAACATGTCTGTCCACAGAGAACCACACCAGGTGAAGATGTGGGAAACGGTCAGGTTTTACTAAAGTGAAGATAATGACACTCGTTAACAGAAGAACAGTGTGCTAGACGGAGCTCGTTAACAGAAGTAACTGGACACCTGTTTTTCAGGCAGCTGTGTGTCTTTTCATGGTTACACACAGACGAGCTCGTTTAGATTGAGGTGTAGTTTTGTGTCAGTATGAGGAGTAAAGAGGTGACGCTGGAGTGAAAACTAGAAGTGACCTGGTCACTGAAGAATCTAACCCAGTACAGAGACGTTCCTCACTAACTAACTAACTGACTAACTAACTAACGAACGACCTGCTCACAGCTGCAGACTCTGGTTAGCTCATACCCATAATACACTCTGTCACAAACTCCTGCTGAACCAGATAAACTACTTGGTGTCACTCTGTTATCTTGGTTCAGGTCCGACCAGCTTCAGGTCTGTGACACCCTCCTGACACATGACACTTTCATGAAGTATCCATTATTTGATTTCAAACTGAATGTGCTGAAGTTCAGAGCCTGAGAAACAAAGTCTGATCACCTCTCCAGATACCTGTGGTGTGGACTGCATCAGCCCTAAACTGAGTTCACCCAGTGACTCACTGATGATGTGCAGGATGAAAATCTCTGTCATGTTGTTGCAGTCAGTTAAGTGATTTCTGTTACTGTCAGTCAGTCAGTCTGACACATGGATATACAGTCTGTGTACTTGGAGGCATGAATGTTCGCTTTTAAATGAGAAAACCAAAATCAGGAAACAGCTTGTTTCCTGGTTACCATTTAGAAAAAGGGAGACAAAAAATGGAAAGAGACAAAACAAACTGTTATCTGTTTTTCTGGGTCACCAAAAAAATTAACATAAAAATTGAGAAAGATCATTTGCGCACAGGTATTTCAATTCCTGATTTCAATTTCTAATCACATCAAGGAAAAACAGATGAGTTTATTTTGTAATTTTCCGTTTTTTGTTTCCTTTTTCTAAATGGTAACCAGGACACGTGTTGATTTTCTCATTTTCAAACACACGGACCGTCTTCGTTCAGTTTCACTGATCGTTTCATCAGCTTGACCTTTGTCTTTCTCTCATGCAGTACTATCTCCACATGGATGGCAGAGGAAAATACGAGTTCAAGCCCATCACAGAGGAGACGGTGGAGTTCGGCTCCTAACTGCTGAGGATATCCCAGAATGCACTGCTCTGATGAAACCAGTCCATTGATTCTTTGCACTCGAGACAGAAGTTATAGCTAAACCTAGAGAATAATGTTTTTAATCATTTGTAACTCTCAGCCTTGTTTCTCTTTTTATGGAAAGGATCTAACCATTAATTTGTTCAGTGTGATTATAAAACATCTGTAATTTATGTTGCCAACATCTGGGTGTGTTGTACACACTGGAGACGAGTGTGTGAAGTGAACAGCTGGAGTCAGAGCTCAGCTGTAATGTAGCTCAGTCTGGAGAGGAAACTGAGGAACCATGTTCCACAGTAAACTGGATACTGCAGTATGTACTGTAGTATATACTGCAGTATTACTATATATATATATATATATATATATATATATATGTGTATATGTGTGTGTGTAACAGTTATCATGAGTCATGAATCATCACAACCACAAAACCAGTCAGAACAGCAGAGACAACAGAAATCATTCCTTGTAAAACTGGCTTTAATTAAAATTAAAATGACCATTAGATCATGGTCTTCATCACATCATCATCAGATCATTTATCTCTAGATAATGTGATAATTAATCAGTAATAACGAGATGAAGGACCTAGGAAATCAACCACAGCTGCTGGAGCTCCAGGACAAACAGGAAGTGAACAACCTGGTTCAGAGACAGATGTTAGACCGACCTCTGACCCTCCAGTCGCTGTACGTAAACATTCCTCCTCTAATATGTTTGATGATTATCAATATTGTTAATCTGTCATTGATCTGTGGTGGGAGCTGACAGGTGGACCTGAGACCTGGTCTCTCTGATAAACAGTCATGTGACCAAACAACAGAGGAGGAGCTGAGAGTGGGCGGGGACTGTCAGGAAACAGGAAGTGATGTAAGCTTGCTCCACATTAGAGACACAGCTCGGTCTACAGTCACATGAACTTCACTCTGATCTGGTTTAAACTACAGTCATTAACTGATCAACGATCAAACACTTCATGAATAATTAATGAGCCAGTGAAGAGGGTCAGTCAGTTTATTCCTCTGTGGTTTGTTGTGATCAGCTCAGGTGAGGAAACTGAAGTGAAATCTGATTGGTGGATTAGCTCAGATGAAGCCACATGATTGGTCCATACTCAGAAAACATCAGAGATTCATTATTTTTATTAATTATTATTATTTTCATATTACAATCTGATAGTTAGCATTTCCCATGAATGAATTTCTGTTTGATTTAATATATTTCTGGGTGTTGGATGAAAAGTTGTTGATAATTATGTTAATTTGATTTAACAGGAGCTCAGTGGCTCTAAAGTGCAATGATGGCTTCTCTCAGTACGACATCAGACCCCCCCTCTGCCATGACCCCCCTGTCTATGTCACACTAATACACTGAATACACTGTAACTCTATGTGAGGATGGAGAGGAGCCTAGCTGTACCATGGTTTTGTAATAATACTGCATTAATAATAAAGTGTAGGAATAATGAGTTTTCATAAAGTCGTCTTTATTCTGTCTTCTGAGAGAGAAGAAGAGGAGGAGCGTGATGAAGGTGAAGATGAGGATGTCTGTAAAAGTGACTCCTTCACACAGACGTTTCACATTGGACTTGTTATTTTAATGAGGTGTTTCATTTTCTATGAGGTCAGGACATCAGGTCGTTACTGAAGGTGCTTCTTAGTTTGACCACGAGTTATTAATCTGATCAGCTTTGTCTCTAATTTGGAGAAACATCTGCAGAGTGATTGAAGAACTGGAACTGGACGCTGCTGCTTCTGGAGAAGATGAAGTTGAACTGTCCCTGTTCACTAAAGAAAAGGCGATTTTATTAAATGACATTTTATTTCTTCACAATCACCATCTTTTATTTTGGTTTAAGTTGAAGTAGAATGTGTGTGTGTGTGGAATATTTTATTTTATGTTTCCAGTGAAACCAGTTGAGAGGTGTGTAAATCATTGTCTGTAGCTGGTCTTTGACAGAAATGTCACTAAAGTGTTTGATAACAGACATCAGTCTCTAATCAGCTGATTTGAAACAGCTGTGTTCCCCCTCCCCCCTGCACTCAGAGGATGCCATGGTGATTGTAACTGCCAACTTACTGTACTGAATGAGACTTGAAATATACCTCTTGAACTGAGGCTTGCCAGTGAAATATCATAACTGTTATCACATGAAGGTATATATTTTCTGAGAGAGGAGACTCTGCTGAACGCAGGGATATAAATATTTGTCTGTGGTGTCAAACGCAGGAGGTGCAGTGATTTTAAAATTCCCTCACTTCCTGTTTTTCCCCTGATTTCCCGCTCTCAGTAGATGAGCAGGACGTGGACGATGACTATAACTTCACCTCTCACAGTTTATTAATGAAAGGAAGAAGTGATGACATCACAGTGACA